AATAGTGAAGTAAAACAGAAGCACTGTTCGTTCCAAATCCTATCAATGAATCGGCCGATGGGATTGGAGAATCGATCAGATCATGGGTACCATCTAAAATAATCTAGCAAAGCTTCTTATAACCCTCCGGTTTGAAAGTGAAAGCAAGAAAGGTAGATGGAGTAGAAGATCGACTGAGCGATTGAAACACAAAAGGAAATCAAATGAATGAAAGGGAGACTGTATATCATAATGAAACAACATTAACCCATTTAGTATCCTCCGAGTCCGGAGCTGCAAGCCTTGACTTGAAATCCATGTTCCATGATCAACACCGTCCAGTAGACTCATCTAAATAATTCGAGGTAGTTTATGCGCAATTGGAACTTATTTACTTAAGGTAATGCACATGCAGCGCGGAGTAATGACCTGATCTGGCGTGAAAGCAAAGTGAGACAGCTATTTGCTGTGATACTATGCAAAACGGAGTCCTAATCGACCCATCGAAATTGACGACCGCATGGAGACAATAATTTCTAGTCCCCCCCTTCTCCCGATTGACTCAGGTGAAAACATGCGAAGGATAATTAAATTGAGATAGATGTGAGGGATCCGCAAATGCAAGAGCAATCGCTAATGGACTATTCGTGTTTCACCAATTTTCCCTATATCTACTTCCGCTCATGTTATAGACATTCTAAATGTTCACAAAGTCGCAATACCTTCGAAAAAACCGAAAATTTTTAAGGATTGGTTTGCAACACATACTAAGTACAGTATCACCAGACTAGAACAGAAAACCCGGACTGAACTTACCCAAGAACCAATGAGCATAATAATTCCGATTACGCACGGAATAAGAAACAGGCCAGTTGAGTAACGAGCCACTTGCACAGCGACGGTCAACGACAGTACAAACATCACGTAGGCCAATTGGGCGTAGCGAAGTGGACAAGCGGTAGCTGCCACAATGGTGACCCAGACAGACAGGACACCACCAAAAAAGTCACAGAATGAGAGCACTTCCAAAGGCAACGGACAAGTTGGTGAGGTGAAACGGAACCCCGATGAGGAGGAACGATAACCGGACGGTTCACTGCCCAACAATTCGTAACCGCGAGACTTGGGTAAAGCGTAGCCACCGAAAGACATGGCCGCACCACCGATCGCACTCGCCCCGACGCGGATTGGAATGTTCATGACATCCGTGTCGCATATGTGATACAACTGTACAAAAGGGCGCGCATTGGGTAAATAAATGAATTAAACGGACAATAAGTCTGATGACGGAAAAAGAGCCAATCATGAAATCAATCGTGTCAAATCATCAAAAAATAACTTGCAGACGATAGCGGAGCATGGCACCACAATACACTGCGTTTAAATCAAAGTGAAGTATATTCATATAAGGAAAAATTCTTGACGAAAAATAAGACTGATTACAAACTTGGATCAAAAAGGCTACCGGAAGAATGCGTGCAGAAATAAACCTTCAATCAAACGAATGAAAAGCCAAATCCGATTCACCTTCAGAAATGGAATAAATCTAAACTAATTATCATCAAACACGCTGATGATCCCGATCGGCCCGATAAGGGGAATAAAATAGTTGGTGTGAGGTTACGTGGATGGGAAATATAATGATCACTCATGGGTGACAATAGCCTAAGTCTCGAGACTGGGAGCGGCGAGCCGCATAAGGTCTCGCCAGCACAGGTGTGGCACTGAGCAGCACGACAATGAAGCTGTTTCCCAGCAAAGTCAGGTGGTGGTTGTGGGGTTCGAAGCTCGGAGCCTAAGGCACGCCAGGAAATAACATAAATCGATATAGCGCCACCACCACTCAAGATGACATTTTTCGAACTCACAAGGGTTGAGGGGTTTTTCCCAATTAATTGCTTTATAACATTTGCTGCTTATGATGACTTGTCGAATTCACTCACCTAAATATTATGTAGTAGGTATAGTGTTAGGCTAGGCGGAAAATATGCAACCTTACCAAAGCACTGAACTAAAAAAGCAAGAACGATGACGGAGTAACACGGGTAACCGCTTTTTACAAGACAAAAGCGTATCAAAACTACGCCGTAAAGTTCACACTACCATTGAGAACCAAATTGAAGTGTTAAAAAATGAGTCACGTATGTTTTAATGATAAAAAGCCTATTCAGTTTGACATAACNATTGCAGTAGTTTCAGTTGTTATGACCATTAACCATGCACTTTTGTACAGCGGTTTTGGTTGCTATCTGAATGAAGGGGTAAAGGGCGGATTGGAATGTTGAAGATTATGTAAAGGTGACAATACAGAACTCATGAAGGTTAAGGTTGAAAGGAAAATGAATAGACGCACGAGCACAACTGTTTCCGGCACTCGGCCATATCACTCAGTGTATCCAACCGTTGATTACCATGAAGCCTAACGCGACGCATGTGAGCGAGTTTTCCAGACAGCATTTTCATACCCTTGACACTTTCCGTCCATCACCTGCCTCAGTAAACAAGGTACGTCGTGTCGATCTATTTGGTGAGATGCGTAATAAATGCTCCAAACAACATAATCTATGGAGGTCGACCAATTTCTCTAGTGGACGATCGCGAGTACCTAAAATTTCTCGCTTGTCTGGTTGCCCCATGAGACTGGTGTTCGAACACCGTGTCTATCTTGACCTTGTTTCATAATGGCCAAGTTCGTGTACTGTATAGTAGAACTGACCGAACAGATTTAGCACTCAACTTCTCACATACAGCCTTCTGCATGTGTGCTGAAACTTCATCTATATATATATATATATATATATATATATATATATATATATATATATATATGAGAATAGGAGTTCAATACAAAACTGGATAATTTAGAAGTTAGCAAAGAAACCCAGTTACGTGGTGAAATTAAGGGGACTGACACAAAGTTTGTATGTGGTCTCCATGAACAAAACGAGTTAAGAGACAATAAAGCAGGTAAATAAATTCAACAGAAAAACCTAAGCTCTGGAGGAAATAGTTAGAAGAGATTCGCTTATCAGTAAAAAAATACGTTTTTAGTTTAAGGCGACCGGATGGAGATTCCAGCTTTCACGATGAAAAAAGCATGCATTTCACTGCGCTAAAAGCAGAACAAAGTGCTCATGAAAAAAGAACGGAAACAAAGCGGTCAACTTATCAACAGAGTACAGCAACCGGGGAGATGAACACCGTTAGAATGAATGAAGCACACAAGAGTCGTCCGTTGTACACTAGATGCAAATATTATAGACACACTCACTCATGTAAAGCTGTTCAATGACCGAGACGGTGCCTCGTCCAAGGAGAACTAGGTTCACCGAGAAGCGAATGGACACGTTCATGCAAGAGCGTAAATGGTGTGACGGATGTTATGAAATCAAACTAACCCGCACACACATATATGTTGAGTGCTCGAGAATGCGTAGCACACAGCCGTTTGTTTTCCCAAACCCGCTGATACCGAAAGTGATTTCTGCTTGTCCAAAAGATTTGTCAAGTCTACACAAAAATCTCGTCGACTGGAGTAAATAAGTGATAAAAAACAGCGTGGATATAATTTACTGATTTGTATGCAAAACCCGACTCCGTTTCTTCGTAACACCGGGAATGTCAGCGGAGCGGTAAAAGGAAGAGAGAGAAATAGAGTGTGATGGGATGGGTTTAACTGTTGAAGCGTGAAATGGGTCGGAACGAGTGTAAAAGAAAAAACTGAATTGAATCAAGCTCCGGAAAGAAGCTTTTCACAATAGATCGGATTAAACTTTATATCACAAAAGTGCTTTGTGTGGGAATTTTAGTATGTGATGAAACTGAACGACCCCGAGGTCGTAAAACAAATTTTCCGCTAGACTAGATGAAGAAACGGATATCTGATTAGTCCACCGGTTACTATATGCCCTCACGAACAGAAACAAACCTGTGATAAGTACTGAATATTTTGTACCAACGGTGAACTATATCAACTGTCAGGGAATCAGGATTACCAAATGTCTCCAATGGACCTCACACGTTCACTATTATTTTGGAAAACCGAGGGGCCTGTCATTTTGAATTAGAAACGGTCAGACATTTCCGTCTCTTCGTAGTTCTCTAAGTGCATCAAGATGCTTCCGTGTAAAAGGGCCTTGATTGCGAGCATGGTAACGCCGAAATTGATAGCAAGCTGTGACTAACGGTGATTTGAATCGTTCTAAATCCTCAACCGACTTAGGTGTAAGATCAGTCGTTTGCCCAGCCAGGACTTCGAATGGTAGTTCCAGTTCCGTTTGACTAACTTTGCGACTAGGACAACAAAATTTGGAACCGAGAGACAATGTTTGGATCGCAATGCGGCTTATTTCAACACTGGAAAAATTGTGACCGTACCGCTCCGGTCTGTTTGGAAATTGGGCTTCAGGTGTGAAGGGGCTCAATGTTCGATTCAAGGACAACATTTTCTTTCCGTAGCCGCACTCGGTTATCAACCTAACGTAATCCATGAACATCACTTTATCTCTGTCATTCAGGTAATCCACAGATGATTGATGGTGAGAAACAGATAGTTCGAGCGTGGAAATCACAGGTCTAATAGTATCCAATTGGTTGAGAGGTTGCGATGACCCAAATCGATTATCAACGATTACGTGACCCGTTCTTGTCTGAACATGAAAACGAGTGACAAATGTGTCCCTACCCCACCCTATTGCCATAATTATCTGAGCTTGACTGTTTGACCCCAACACAACACTTTCCCGTTATTTTCTCACATAAAAGTTATTGTACTGGCTTCATAAGGAACTCACCGAAAACATGTGTTCGCCTACAACCTGTGTCTTGATTATGACTATGGGTTTATTCTGTGATTTGGCATTATCCTATCCACTGCATTGTATTGACCTGGGGTGGATCATGTGCATCGTATGATGCAATCATTGTAAGCTAAATACGAACCACAAAAATTTGGTCACGTAACTGGTCGGATTGGTCAAGTTCATCCAACGTCCGGTAACACACGAGGGAAAAGATTGGGGGGAGGACGTAAGTAAAATCGGATTGAAAAACAGAAGGAAGAAGTGGAGGAGAGCGAAGAACAGGGAAAGAGGAAAAACCGAAAAATAACACGCTGCACCCGTGAACGTATAAAAAATGGCACCAATTAACCGAATGACAAGTAGACACATAAAATTAATCAGACTGGGATTATTAATTAGGTAGACTGGAAAGGATGATATAAGTTAAAACGTTCATTTTTCTTAATGATGATGAACGGAAAATGACATCACTCTTCAAGGAAAATGCAATTGGCAATTTAACGATCAATGAAGCATAAGTACGAGTAATGTGATCAGACGGTTATTATTAGCGCAAAAGGATTAGTGAGGTATGAAGTTGCAGTGCCACTACCGTCAACTAATTTTGATACTGAACAGCTTGACCTCTGCCCAACTGCTCACACACACAAAATTTCATAGGGGCCTTAAATGGTTTAGTCTACCGTAAGTCCCAGATGAAAGATTGACGGTTTTTCTGAATGAACAATAGGTTAACATGACTGGACAGTTCATCAATATCTAGTGTTCACTGATCTAAGGTGATTAAACAGGATAATTACTGTATTCGGAGATAACAAGTTAGACTCACACAGTACATGCTCAAGGACTTTCTAAATCTGATTAAATTACTGAATATTTTTGACCACAAAAATCGATAACTTACATCAACAACATTGGCATGGGATAAAGTTTTGATATTACGTGTTATCCCGACCTGCGGTCGATCAAATTGTGCTCTCCCGGTTTAATCGGAATCTCTACGAAATCTCGTCGTACATCGAGGAGTCTACGTTCATTCGATCCAGTTTTGTGAACTCTATCTTGTGATACCATTCTATTGAAGGTAAATCACTCATATCTCTCCACTGATCAATTTTTCCGTTATCATCGAAGCTTTGGGATTTACTCACGCGTGCAAAATTGTGCAATTTAATTTGCTGTATCAACATTGTGATATCGCTCGATCGGAAATTCAACAACCTTTCCAACGAGCCTTGATTGAGCTAAGTTCAATTTCAAACATCCTACGGATCTATTTGTGCAATTTAGTGCAATCATAGCTGCCACTCGCAGTCGCACTTGTGTCTGTTCCACTGCGGCCAGAAAAGCCGATCGATATTCCCAAAGTGATCTTTGTCATTGTTTTGTCCTTGTGACCTCCACTGATCCGGACGAGCGGACGACCGAGATAACTTCTCTCACTTCACGTGACCTTTTTCATATTTTGTCAGTCTCCCCGCTCGATAAAGTGCAAAAATGGGACGTCGCAGTGTCAACAAGTGCCGCACCAAGTGTTTCGACGGCATCGGAAGTATGCGGCCTATGGAGTTACAAGAAAGAAGTTAAAACGGGGATATTTTGCACACACTGCCTAAAACACTTTCACCTTTCATGTGCCAAACTCTTGGTAAAACAGGTATAACAGTTAGCCACTCAGCCAGAACGTATATGGTTCCGTACAGAATGTGCGGAAATCCCGATTGTAAAATGCATCACTTGTATCACACACAAGTACGAGAAGCTATTGTCAGGAGCCGACGAAAGAGCGAATTCAAAAATCGCCACACTTGAGGCAAAAATAGCAGACTTAAGTTCACGAATCACACCAGCTAGCCCGATCCGGAAACCCAGCAAACGACCAAAATACTCGACACAAGTGGTCACCCCACGGCAGGGGACGCACACGGCTGAACTGAGCGCGACGACAAAAGCAACAGTTGAAGCACCTACTACCTAGAAACCCACACATACCCAGTGGTCTCCCTTATCTGCTTCTTCAAAGATAACAGCTCTGCCTGCCAGCTCGCCACTGCCAAAAAACTCTCTAACCCCCATAACGCCGGCCACTGTTGTGAAAGTTACCCCTTCGTATGCATATGTCATTTCCACTCCACTTAGAAAAGCAGCTCCTGCAGCTGCGCCACAGCAGAAGCACCCGAAAAAGGGTAGGGATATCGTCTACTGCATCGCCCTCACGGACAGACTCGACTCCTTCGTCCACGACATCCAGGCGCGGTGCGTGTAACATATCACGGACAATTGAGAGGTGGCCCCACGATTCGCAGGAACCTATGCAGCAGAGAAAGCTCCCTCCGAGATCTCAGTGCCTTACTGTTGTCAATCTTCCGGAGGCCGACGCCACCACTGCCCAAGCTCATCTGGACCACGACCTGCAGCTGCTGAGGTCGCACATGGCTACCTTGTTTGATGGTGACGAGGTGGAACTAGCGGCATCGATCAGAGTAAAAGCGGCATTCAGGCTTGGAAAACCCCGCCAGGATAATTCTCCACGACCACTGAAAGTGGTTCTTCGAGCAGAAAGCGAGGCCAAGGCGATAATCCAGCGGACCCACAAGCTGAAGGGAACTCCGGTGCGATTCCTCAGGGATCTTGATCCCGACCAGCGCAGCAAAATGAAAACTGCATTGGAAGAACTCAGGGGAAACTGATCTGTGTATCCAGATTTTCGTGTGCATCGGAAGCGCCCTCAGTTGCGTTGGCTGCTCTTGGTCGGGCGGAGGACCCAGGAGACTGTTTAACCACGGACGAGGGGATTAGTTTGAGGCGTGAATGGCGAGGTAACCACACTGTGCTAGCCTCAACCAATATCCGAGGGATGCTAGAAAAAAGGGTTGTATCCCACAATCCCGATCATTTTGCAATCACTGAGACCTGGTTGACACCGGATGTCCGGGTCTCTGAAATATCACTCCACGGATACACACTGTTTCAAACGGATCGATCATCGTCACGTCGCGGTAGTGGAATTGTTCTTTTTGTCCGCTTGGGTCTCCCTGTTCGAGTGCTGTAGAATTACGCCCATCCGGAAGGATTTGAAGAAGCCCTGTGGTGCAGAATCAAGCTTTGTGCCAAAGGGTATACCACAGTTGGAGTGATTTACCGCACACCAGCTATGTACGTCCCAGAGCTGCTGGCCAGCATACACAGGTACGCCTGTGATGGATATTGTCTTGTCTTGGGTGATTTCAACGCGCCCCATGTTGATTGGGAAACTGACATCTGCCCTCAGCATGCAGATTTGCTCTCCAGAGAACTTCTTTTCGCTGTCCGGGCCCTGTCGCTTGTTCAGCATGTTCATGTGCCCACGCGGATAGTTGGGGATCAAAGATTCATCCTTGACCTGGTATTTTCGCCGAGGCAATCAGATACGACTAGGATTGACCTCCTTCCACAAATTGCATCTAGTGATCACTCCGTTCTGCGTATACACTGGAGGCGTGGCGTACCCCAAACGGACAGACGGACGGAATGTGTGGCGCTCATCCTTACCGGATATGCGTCAGGCTGCATCGCTCATAAATTGGGATTCCCGGAACCCTGAGGATGTAGATGTATCCTGGGAGTTGGTTCGTCACAGAATCCAGTAACGCGTACTGGAATTCTNGTTTGACCGAGAACTGCGGGCGTGCCTCCGGCAGCGGAATAAAGCCTGGTCCAGGTACCGTGCAACAGGTGCAGAATATGAGGAATATCCATGTATTCAAAATCCTTGTACTGCACTAAAAAATGCAAGAGAACCAGATTCGAGGAACGACTAGCAGTGGATTCATTACAAGCACCAAAGCGATTGTATGCCCACCTCAGGCGCAGAATCAGAGCAACGTTT